TTGTAAAATCTTTATAATTTCCAGTGTTTGATGTTTATTTTTTGGACACTCTTGTTCATACCTTGTATTGTTTGTGTTTTTATTATACATATATTGTTAGTGGTTTCCTTTAAATAAAAAGAAAAATACAAAATGTAAAAATTTTCAGTGTGTTGTGTGTGAGAGTGTAATATAACTGTAACATACAGTGTGTTGTGTGTGGAGTGTTTAAAATAACTGTAACATACGTGTGTTGTGTGTGAGAGTGTAATATAACTGTAACATTTCAGTGTGTTGTGTGTGAGAGTGTAATATAACTGTAACATACAGTGTGTTGTGTGTGGAGTGTAATTAACTGTAATATACAGTGTGTTGTGTGTGAGAGTGTAATATAAAATGTAACATACAGTGTGTTGTGTGTGAGAGTGTAATTTTAACTGTAAAAATACAGTGTGTTGTGTGTGAGGTGTAATATAAAATGTAACATACAGTGGTTGTTTTGAGAGGGGTAATTATAACTGTAAATACAGTGTGTTGTGTGTGGGGAGTGTATATAACTGTAACTACAGTGTGTTGTGTGTGAGAGTGTATTATAACTGTAATATACGGTGTGTTGTGTGTGAGAGTGTAATATAACTGTAATTTACGGTGTGTTGTGTGTTTAGAGTGTAATATAACCCGTAAAATACGGTGTGTTGTGTGTGAGAGTGTAATATAACTGTAATATACGGTGTGTTGTTGTGAGAGAATATAATGAATATACGGTGTGTTGTGTGTGAGAGTGTTAAAATTTTTCTGTACTACTGTGTGTTGTGTGTGAGAGTGTAATATAACTGTAAACATACGGTTGTTGTGTGTGAGAGTGTAATATAACTGAACATACGTGTGGGTTTTGGGGTGAGAGTGTAATATAACTGTAACATACAGTGTTGTTGTGTGTGAGAGTGTAATATAACCCGTAATATACGGTTGTGTTGTGTGTGAGGAGTGTAATATAACTGTAATATACGGTGTGTTGTGTGTGAGAGTGTAATATAACTGTAATATACGGTGTGTTGTGTGTGAGAGTGTAATATAACTGTAACATACGGTGTGTTGTGTGTAGAGTGTAATTTAACTGTAATATACGGTGTTTTTTGTGTGTGAGAGTGTAATATAACTGTTAATATACGGTGTGTTGTGTGTGAGAGTGTAAAATAACTGTAACATACAGTGTGTTTGTGTTAGAGTGTAATATAACGTAAACGGTGTGTTTTTGTGTGAGAGGTAAATTACTGTAACTACAGTGTGTTGTGTGGGGAGAGTGTAATTATAACTGTTTAAAATCAGTGTGTTGTGTGTGAGAGTGATATACTGTAACATACAGTGTGTTGTGTGTGAGAGTGTAATATAACTGTAACATACAGTGTGTTGTGTGTGAGAGTGTAATATAACTGTTAAATTACAGGTGTGTTGTGTGTGAGAGTGTAAAATAACTGTAACATACAGTGTGTTGTGTGTGAGAGTGTAATATAACTGTAACATACGGTGTGTTGTGTGTGAGAGTGTAATATAACTGTAACATACAGTGTGTTGTGTGTGAGAGTGTAATATAACTGTAACATTTCAGTGTGTTGTGTGTGAGAGTGTAATATAACTGTAATATACAGTGTGTTGTGTGTGAGAGTGTAATATAACTGTAACATTTCAGTGTGTTGTGTGTTTAGAGTGTAAAATAACTGTAACATACAGTGGGTTGTGTGTGAGAGTTTTAATATAACTGTAACATACAAATGTGTTTTGTGTGAGAGTGTAATATAACTTAACATACAGTGTGTTGTGTGTGGAGTGTAATATAACTGTAACATACGGTGTGTTGTGTGTGAGAGTGTAATATAACTGTAACATACAGTGTGTTTTTGTGTGAGAGTGTAATTTTAACTGTAATTATACGTGTGTTGTGTGTGGAGTGTTTAAAATAACTGTAACATTTCAGTGTGTTGTGTGTGAGAGTGTAATTATAACTGTAACATACGTGTGTTGTGTGTGAGAGTTTTAATATAACTGTAACATACAGTGTGTTGTGTGTGGGTGTAATATAACTGTAACATACAGTGTGTTGTGTGTGAGGTGTAATATAAAATGTAACATACGGTGTGTTGTGTGTGAGAGTGTAATATAACTGTAAACATACAGTTGTGTTTTGGTTTAGAGGTAATTCGTATATACAGTGTGTTGTGTGTGAGAGTTTTAATATAACTGTAACATCGTGTTTTGTGTGTGAGAGTGTAAATATAACTGTAACATACAGTGTGTTGTGTGTGAGGGTGTAATATAACTGTAACATACAGTGTGTTGTGTGTGAGGGTGTAATATAACTGTAACATACAGTGTGTTTGTGTGAGAGTGTAATAAAAATGTAACATACAGTGTTTGTGTGTGGGGGTGTAATATAACTGTAACTTTACAGTGGTGTTGTGGGGTGAGGGTGTAATAAACTGTAACATACAGTTTTGTTGTGTGTGAGAGTGTAATATACTGAAAACATACAGTGGTTTGTGTGTGAGAGTGTAATATAACTGTACATACAGTGTGTTGTGTGTGAGAGTGTAATATAACTTTTAACATACATTTGTGTTGTGTGTGAGAGTGTAATATAACTGTAACATACGTGTGTTGTGTGTGAGGGTTGTAATAAAAACTGTAACAAAACAGTGTGTTGTGTGTGAGAGTGTAATATAACTGTATCATACAGTGTGTTGTGTGTGAGGGTGTAAAACCACTATAATGTGTGGTGTCGTTATTATGTGTTAGGGTTATTGGGATTCTTGTGCATTACCATTTTTCGTATCTTTTTAATATATTCTATCATCTTGTATTGCATTGTTTTATATAAAATATAAAAAATAGTAGTATGAAATTGCTGTCAGCTAAGCCTGTAATACCTTGTCTGTACCTGTAGTAAAGGAAGATATTATTATTATCTTACCGGGACGAAGTAGTGACGCAGTTTACCACTTGTGGTGTCAGTGACGGGGGCTGGATGACTCTCCTTCCTGGTACTGACGGTGTACCCTCCAGGTTTATCCCACGAAAACCAGACCCCGTGGCACTCACCACTTCCACTTTAGGAGCTGTATGATACAGAGATATATGCCAAAGTTTAAGTTTGAACTTTATTTACCTGTTTAAGATACCCTGTTCCTAGTGTGCAAAGTTCTAAATAGCCCAATATGGGTTTAGCGTTTTTTTGTAACTAATATTTCCACTGGAAGCCTAATAAAAAGAATTTTGAGGAATGCTAAACCCACAGGGGTGATACAGCGCATGAAATAGGAGTAATCAGGTTTGATCCAAAAATGGACTAACGTGGTTGACCATTATATGGTTTTTCCCAAACGATATCCAAAGATATAATAAAATTTTACAAATTTTTCCAGAAGCTGACTAAATTCGTTAACGTTTTATCTATATATCTGCAAGTATTTGTTTAATAGAGATTCTGACCACTGGCATAACGAAGTCATTTCGTCTGTTATAGAAAAGGAACTTAGTGAGTGTCTCTTGCTGGGGTAATTTTTGGACTAAGTCCGCCTTGTATGAGGAGAAATTTAACAAACAAGAAAAAAGCAAAAAAATTCTAAATCAAGGTTTGACCTACGAGAAATCGTATGGTTTATATGTGATTAAAAACCGTTCAAAAGTGTTATTAATTATAACTACAAAGTTATTGATAAGTATGTTAAAGTTCTATAAGGAGAAAAATAATCGTATAAATGGATACGGTAATTATTACTTGACATGTTTATATTTTCATTAATATTAAGTGCGACTGTAGTCTTCCTTCATTCCTAACTTTCAAATATTCTTAAATCCTAAAAAAATCAGAATTAAAGTAAATTCAGCACACCGTCCCTTTAACTGGGTCGGGGGTTTAATGTAAATGATTTTTTATCCGAAAAAAAATTTAAGATATCTACCTCTTCCTCTGATCAAATTTGATTGCCTTTATTCCTGGCGCTAATGATCTCTGCGGATTTAGTGCTTCCAAAGAATGTAAGAATTATCAGCATACTATCTGCACAAAAAAGTGCACCTTTTAAGAATACTTTAATGCCTATTGTACTGTTTTATTAACAAATTTTCAGACTATTTTAGAATTAAAGTTGTGCAAGACTGGTATACAATACCGACAAGATGAAAGTTAAGACACTTGTGCAACATTGGTTATCTTTATTGTAGACGTTTTCGCCAAACCGTGGCTTTATCAATACAAATTCTTGGACATAATAAGAAAAACGAAGAACTATATACAAAAGAGAGGTAATCAGTCCCTCGGCCTTTGGGGGTGGTGGTTAGAGCACCTGGTTGTAGAGATTTTGAAGCACAAAAGGGAAGGACTGGCGCTTATATAGGCGTCAGTGAAAGGGACGTGTAGCAGACGAGGGCATAGTCACTGGTAGGCGGGATTCCCCAGTGGAAGTAGGTCCTTCCCAAATTGATGGGCTAGTTGTAGAAGTCTTTAAGAAAGTCACGTTAGATGTCCCCTTTATTCAGAGGACATCTACGTGACTTTCTTCAAGACTTCTACAACTAGCCCATCAATTTGGGGAAAGGGCTACCCTTCCACTGGGAATCCCCCCTACCAGTGACAATGCCCTCGTCTGCTACACGTCCCTTTCACTGACCCTATATAAGCGCCAGTCTCCTTTTCCTGTGCTTCGAATCTCTACAACCCCGGTGCTCTAAACACCACCTCCAAGGCCCCAGGGACTGATTACCTCATCTTTTGTATATAGTTCTTCGTTTTTCTTATTATGTCCAAGAATTTGTATTGATAAAGCCACTGGATGGCGAAACGTCTGCAATAAAGATAACCAGATGTTGCACAAGTGTCTTAACTTTCAGAATTAATGTTATCGCATATAAAAATGCTGCATCTAAGATACGCCTTTTTTCATTTTTTTAATTAAATATAAAAATACTAATTAATTTAATAAGTATAGTATCCGGTTAGATTAGTCAGTGAGTCACAAATTTTTTTAATTGATAATACGATCATTCCTTGTGTTTAATTTGATGATAAACGCAACCTGAAATTTTTGAAATAGTTGTAAAAATATTAAGGGGTTGCGCATGAAATCAGTTTTTTTACTAACGATATTTGGAAATTCTGTTCCACCTCATAAGAAAACACCACTGTCAAATTTTGAATGACTTATCATAACTTTTAAGACCACAGTGGGATACCCAATGATTCTGATCACTATCATGACCGCATTTACTCTTTATAGATCTGATCACTACCAGAAACAAAAGCGAAATATTTTAATAGCCATTGAATATTTCGAAACATTTTTTTTCCATAGATACTCCGAAAAACAACCAGGCTGAGTTTAATGTAATACTAATTAAAGGGAAAAGACTACATTTCATTCGCCTTTATATTTACATGCAATTATATATAAAAATAGACCTATATGATAGCGGGTCATCTGTCAAATACCAGCGTCAACGGGCGGTTTCCTTATAAACAAAACACGTCCAGTCTCGTGATATTCACAAAAATTATTATTAGAATCCTTGTTGTTAAAATCAACCTTTATGACTTAAATGAGGAATTAAATTGCTGTTGGAGTGTGAGCAGGGTAATATTTAGTGAAGGGATTTAGGGAAACCGGTTATTTTATATAGCCGGACTTGAGTCCTGGAAATGGGAAGTAAAATGCCTGCACTCTAAAGGAGGGGTTTGAGATATTGGCAGTTTGGAGGGACATGTTGTGTATCTTTATACGTATATGCTTCTAAACTGTTGTATTCTGAGCACCTCTGCAAAAACAGTGATAATGTGTGAGTGAGGTGAAAGTGTGGAAGGATGATGAAAGTATTTTCTTTTTGGGGATTTTCTTTCTTTTTTGGTCACCCTGCCTCGGTGGGAGACGGCCGACTTGTTGAAAAAAAAAATAAGGGAATTCATGACACTAAAATAGGCCGTCAAATATTTTCTGATGTCAATATTAATCAAGAGAACACCATCAGAACATTGCTAAGCACTTACTGATGAAGAATACGTGAGACTCCCCGCTGGCCAGGACAGTACGACCATCCACGTCTCTCTTGATGACCAACACAGTTACTTCTTCAGCAGTGTTGAACTGACGGGAGTCCAGAGTTACTCTTGAGAAACAAAGGCGACCCTCCCTGGTATGTGATGCTCCATGGACGCGGCGCCAGCGTCCCTCTGCGTCCACCAACACCAGCTGGTACTGTGTTAGTCCTGTATCGTCCACTGTGGCGTCCCTATAATGGAAACACACTCCAACGTCCACTCTCACGCCATCTCTTCTCCAGTCCAGTTCAACTTCCTCCACTAATTGAAGTAGAAAATAAAAATAGAAAAAACTATTCAGTTTAGTTGGTAAATCTTGCACATCTTGGAGAATATAAAAGTATTTATACTACATAAGAAATAAAGTTTATTAATATATTATAAATAACAAACATATATTTTCCATGGGAAAAAATGTAATTGTAATTCATGTCGTTTATTTTGGTGATAATAAGCTAAAATAAGAATGTCATTCACCACGTACATTCACCACGTACATTCACCACGTACATTCACCACGTTAAAAATTCACCACGTACATCACCACGTACATCACCACGTACATTCACCACGTACATTCACCACGTACGTTCCACGATCACCACGTACATTCACCACGTACTTCACCACGTACATTCACCACGTACATTCACCACGTACATTCACCACGTACATTCACCACGTACATTCACCACGTACATTCACCACGTACATTCACCACGTACATTCACCACGTACGTTCACCACGTACATTCACCACGTACATTCACCACGTACATTCACCACGTACATTCACCACGTAACATTCACCACGTACATTCACCACGTACATTCACCACGTACGTTCACCACGTACATCCACCACGTACATTCACCACGTACATTCACCACGTACATTCACCACGTACATTCACCACGTACATTCACCACGTACATTCACCACGTATATTCACCAGTACATTCACCACGTACATTCACCACGTATCTTCACCACGTACTTCACCACGTACATTCACCACGTACATTCACCACGTAACATTCACCACGTATAATTCACCACGATACATTCACCACGTACATCACCACGTACATTCACCACGTATATTCACCACGTACATTCACCACGTACATTCACCACGTACATTCACCACGTCATTGTTTAATACGAGTTGTGGAATGGACAAAAATGTATTTTGAACAAACAGGAAAGAAGTTAGATTTTGATTTTTAAATCTAATAACATAAACCAACCAAACGTAACCTTTGTGATAATTGGTTTAGAAAACCAACAAGTTGAATAATGAGAGACACGCAATTTGGGAATCTATATTGTGGAAACGTATCGCCAGCCAGTGGCTTCATCATGCCAATACAGAGAAGAACAGTGGAAACAGTGAGGGAGTTTGAGGTAATCAGTCCCTCAGCCTGGAATTGATATGTTCAGTCCATCAATCTTGAAAATTGATGAACTGAACACAAGTGTCTCATTCTATAGACATAACCCAGCCTAGACCAGCTGTAGAAATGTCGATTACGAAGGGTGACATTAGGTTATATAAGAACAAGGTCTATTCCCATAGCCACAAAATATATGTACTAGGATAGGTGACATTAGTTTAGGCTATAAAGTGGAACCTCGGTACTCGAACTGCTCCGTACTCGAACAATTCGGTACTCAAACGCTTTGGTAAAAAAGTCGCTCTGTAGTCGACCATTTGCTCGGCACTCGACAAAACAAACACGACCTGCCAGAACATATGCGTCAGTCTCCCCGCGGTTGTCGCTCAGTCCAAAACTCCACTGAACTTCACTGTAAACTATTTCGTATTTCTTCGCATTTTTTATATTATTTGTATAAATAAGTCACCATGAGGCCTAAGAAGATTAGTGATAACAGTCAACCAAAATGAAAATTGGTTAGTGTTTGCCCTGATGTAAACACCGCCTCCGCCTCTCCATATGCCTTTTATTAATTTCGGCATCTTTAGTGTGCTTCTAGGTTATCTATGGTGTTTCTGATATCAAGCTGGAATAAATGTGATAGATATCCTTTATTACTAATATTAGCATAATTACACAGCATTGTATTCGCGCCACCGCTAGTATCCGGCTACCAAGACAACTTATCAGATACTGAATGCTCCTTCTGCTGGCCCCTCCCTCTCTCTCATATGGCTCCTCTCACTTTTTGCCCCTTTAATATTATGCTTGCTTTCAATTTAAATTTTTATTCACACTAAAACTGCAGATTTACTGTTATGCAGACTACTGCATTATTGAAAAAAAATGGTATAAATAATATCAGCGCATTTGTGAAGGCATATTTGACCCACCAGTTGACGTGTGTTGGACGCGTTAGGTGATTTGTTTACTTTTGAACATCAGCAAAAATCGAACATTTCAGCTACTTTGAGCTCAATTTCAAGGTACTTTTAGTCTGTAAACCATTCAAAATCATCTCTAGTTCTGTAATATATCTTTCATTCTACCAAATGTGGGCCTTAGACAAGGATGTGTGATGCCACCGTGAGTGTTCAATATATTTATAGATAGGGTTGTAAGAGAAGTAAATGCGAGGGTCTTGGCAAGAGGTGTGAAGTTAAAAGATAAAGAATCAAACACAAAGTGGGAGTTGTCACAGTTGTTCTTTGCTGATGACACTGTGCTTTTGGGAGATTCTGAAGAGAAGTTGCAGAGGTTGGTGGATGAATTTGGTAGGGTATGTAAGAAAAGAAAATTAAAAGTGAATACAGGAAAGAGTAAGGTTATGAGGATAACAAAAAGATTAGGTGATGAAAGATTGGATATCAAATTGGAGGGAGAGAGTATTGGGGAGGTGAATGTATTCAGATATTTAGGAGTGGACGTGTCAGCAGATGGGTCTATGAAGGATGAGGTGAATCATAGAATTGATGAGGGAAAAAGGGTGAGTGGTGCATTTAGGAGTCTGTGGAGACAAAGAACTTTGTCTGTGGAAGCAAAGAGGGGAATGTATGAGAGTATAGTTGTACCAACACTCTTGTATGGGTGTAAAGCATGGGTGATGAATGCTGCAGCGAGGAGAAGGCTGGAGGCAGTGGAGATGTCATGTCTGAGGGCAATGTGGGGTGTGAATATAATGCAGAGAATTCGTAGTTTGGAAATTAGGAGAAGGTGTGGGATTACCAAGAGGGCTGAGGAGGGGTTGTTGAGGTGGTTCTGACATGTAGAGAGAATGGAACAAAACAGAATGACTTCGATAGTGTATAAATCTGTAGTGGAGGGAAGGCGGGGTAGGGGTTGGCCTAGAAAGGGTTGGAGGGAGGGGGTAAAGCAGGTTTTGTGTGTGAGGGGCTTGGACTTCCAGCAAGCGTGCGTGAGCGTATTTGATAGGAGTGAATAGTTTTTAATACTTGACGTGCTGTTGGAGTGTGAGCAAAGTAACATTTATGAAGGGATTCAGGGAAACCGGCAGGCCGGACTTGAGTCCTGGAGATGGGAAGTACAGTGCCTGCACTCTGAAGGAGGGGTGTTAATGTTGCAGTTTAAAAACTGTAGTGTAAAACACCCTTCTGGCAAGACAGTGATGGAGTGAATGATGATAACAGTTTTTCTTTTTCAGGCCACCCTGCCTTGGTGGGAGTTAATAAATAAAATAATAATATATAATAATTAATAATAATAATATATAATAATAATAATAATAATCTAATTATTATTATTATATTAATTATTATTCTTATTATTATTATTATTATTATTATTATATTATTATTATTATTATTATTATTAATTATTAGCGTATCTGCCTGTGAGTTATGACTCACTTGCCATGGATACGGGCTCCATTCGTTTTAATTTATTGTTATTGCTACAAAATGCCCTCTTGTTACATGGTCGTGGTGTTGTGTTCATCAGTAAACACGGCAGTGTCTCCTGACATGGTCGTGGTGTTGTGTTCATCAGGAAACACGGCAGTGTCTCCTGACATGGTTGTTGTGTTGTGTTCATCAGTAAACACAGCAGTGTCTCCTGACATGGTCGTGGTGTTGTGTTCGTCAGGAAACACAGCAGTGTCTCCTGACATGGTTGTTTGATTACGTTTAAAGATTACTACAAGGAATTATTGCGCGTCATCTGTTCACCAGATAAAAATACTGTATCCTTTTTTTAGGGATTAAAATATTCTTGTATACATACTGCGTATATATCTCAGTGTATATACACTGAGAGACGTAACTGCCTCCCAGCATACATAAAAGGGATTACCAATACACCCCTGGCTGTCTTCGACAAGACGCTGGACCGGCACCTAAGTCAGTACCTGACTAGCCGGGCTGTAGCTAATACACCGGTTAACATGCGGCCAGCAGTAACAGCTTGGTTGTTCAGGTCCGGATCCACCTCGAGGCTTGCTCATGGAGAGGGCCTCGGGGGCGTTGACCCCCGAAACTCCCACCAGGTATATATCTCTCGGTGTGTATGCACCGAGAGATACACCTCTAGGGGTGTATACACACAGACATACACTTCTCGGTTTAATAAAAAATGGGTATAATCATAACCATATTTTTTTAAATAGGTGAATGGTGTAGCCAGCTGAAGGCTTCGCTCCAGCGGCGGGTTATCAGATAACTAAGACCCGCGTCAAGAAACACTTGTCCTGTTTCCTCTCAGTGTATCCTTGTGACACGGGACTTACATGAATTTGTTATGCAAATAATAGTTTACTCGTAACGTTTAACCTAGTTTTTAGTTAAGTTAGGGAGACAACTTGTCCACGCCAAATTAAACTTACTAACCTAACTTCTATATAAAACTTACATGATATACAAGGCTAGTATCTAGATTATATTTACCCTTAAATCATATTTTATATGCGAGACATTAACAGAATAACTTACGAGAATGATGAAGGAATCTTATTAAAATACGTAGACATTAATGTAATTGAAGAAAATATAACATCGTACTGTAAGAAAGTGACATAGGAAACGTACCACTTGGAGAAAAATTAAAAAAAAAAAAAAGACCTACGTTCTTTCTAAAATGTTGCCTAAAACCTTTACCCAAAATGTAGTTAGAAACATGAGAAAATATGGTGACAGTAAAATAAAAAAAATGGACGCACGTGTGAATGTGAGGCAATTAAGTTTGGTCTGAGGAATAAGAGAGTAGCTCCAATTCTTTAGATCAAGAACCCTTCACCAGCACCAAGGCGCATTCTCCTTGAAGACTCTGTAGATTCAATAACGCTAAGACGAAGGTAAAAAAAAAAATTAACAATAGACTAAAGCATTAAGGCAGGTTTAGTCTTACCTCGCAACTGGTCACTGGATACTCTCAACCCTCGTGATGCTGATGTACCACCTGTTACCTTCTCCGAAATGACCTGATTCAGCGAGTCATAATCATTTCCAGATTTAGGCTGTATCATCACTGCGTAATGGTTGGTGCTCGTCAACCCCAGGAAGAAGACGTAACACTGTATGTCTGAGGTGTCACAGGTCACTTCAGCAGTAATGAAAGTAGGAGACGGGTCGCTCTCGTCTTCTGGTAATATGGTAGCCAAGTACTCATTTACTGGTGACTTTGTTTGTGGCTCCATAGTCCATTGCCACTCGATGGTACTGCTGGACACGAAGCTCCCTGTGATGTAGTAATCTGTAACAAGTCAAAGGAAATTAAGTTTTTTACCTAAGATAACCCAACAAACCAAATAATACGACCCATAAAAGCTGACTAATCCCTGTATATTTATTAATTTGTGAACAGGGGCAGCAAACAGATGGAAGGAGACTTTCCATACCTCGCTCCACCTGGGACTCGAACCCTAATCCTTTAAGTTGTGAACTGAATACTACAACTTAACATATCGGGTATATCGCTAAGCAAATTTGCGCAAAAGTAAATAAGTCCCTTGAAAATCTGTTATAAGACCTGGCTGAAGGTAAAGAAGCTGTGTCTAGTCTATTTTTTTTTTAATTATTATATTCTATTGAAGGGGAAGTTACAAACTAGTAAGGGTAATACAGAGCCTGGAAAATGGAAGGTAATCAAGTTTAATCCGAAGGCCAGGAGGGTAACTTCAAATCTTCGTATCAATTCCTTCCACCAGTATCAAGGTACCATTGTCTATATAACTATAACATGCCTCTTGTCATCTTACCTTGGAGTGTTTGAACGTCTGATTCTAACACATTATCAGTGGAATCTGTGTAACCAACTAAGAGAACATTCACAAGACTGGTTCCTGTTGTATATTCTGTTGCATCACAAGACAGAGGATCAACAGCAACATTAATGTCGGGACATGCAGCCACGTTATATGTACCGTCCGTTACATCTTTGGTCCAATAAATTACAATATCAAAATTTGTACTAGTGGTGGTGTCAGTTGTTACTTCCACTCTAGGAGTTTCATATGCTAGAGTCAAAGCTGTAAATATTTCACCTGGAAAATAAAATAAGGAATAAATATTTGAATGTAAAAGTCACGTAATGAATCAATCACGAAAAAAATAATAAGAACTTGAGTAATGCTACCATAATAGCAAAATAATTCTATGATCCATACTTGTAACCCATCCTCAACAAAAAAAAAAAATGCGTTTAAATAACTATTTTACGATCAGCATAAGGGTTAGACTTCCCAATGATAATTTATTATAATCATGGGGCGCGCTAAACCTGCAGGATTAGACAGCGCCCGAGGTGGGATGGAAGGTATTCAGGTTCAATTCAGGGAACTGGAGCACAGATCAAATTCCCTAGATCAACAGACCCTCACCAGCGTCAAGGAACCTCCCTTGAGTGGGCGGCCTTCCATTGAAACAGCTGATCTTCCGACGTTCTCTCACAAGTCTTCATGTTTCCTCATGTGTTGTTACATCAATAATGTGCTCTCCAGGAGTGTTGTTACATCAATAATGTGCTCTCCAGGAGTGTTGTTACATCAATAATGTGCTCTCCAGGAGTGTTGTTACATCAATAATGTGCTCTCCAGGATTGTTGTTACATCAATAATGTGCTCTCCAGGAGTGTTGTTACATCAATAATGTGCTCTCCAGGATTGTTGTTACATCAATAATGTGCTCTCCAGGAGTGTTGTTACATCAATAATGTGCTCTCCAGGAGTGTTGTTACATCAATAATGTGCTCTCCAGAAGTGTTGTTACATCAATAATGTGCTCTCCAGAAGTGTTGTTACATCAATAATGTGCTCTCCAGGATTGTTGTTACATCAATAATGTGCTCTCCAGGAGTGTTGTTACATCAATAATGTGCTCTCCAGGAGTGTTGTTACATCAATAATGTGCTCTCCAGGATTGTTGTTACATCAATAATGTGCTCTCCAGGAGTGTTGTTACATCAATAATGTGCTCTCCAGGAGTGTTGTTACATCAATAATGTGCTCTCCAGGAGTGTTGTTACATCAATAATGTGCTCTCCAGGAGTGTTGTTACATCAATAATGTGCTCTCCAGGAGTGTTGTTACATCAATAATGTGCTCTCCAGGAGTGTTGTTACATCAATAATGTGCTCTCCAGAGTGTTGTTACATCAATAATGTGCTCTCCAGGAGTGTTGTTACATCAATAATGTGCTCTCCAGGAGTGTTGTTACATCAATAATGTGCTCTCCAGGAGTGTTGTTACATCAATAATGTGCTCTCCAGAAGTGTTGTTACATCAATAATGTGCTCTCCAGGAGTGTTGTTACATCAATAATGTGCTCTCCAGGAGTGTTGTTACATCAATAATGTGCTCTCCAGGAGTGTTGTTACATCAATAATGTGCTCTCCAGGAGTGTTGTTACATCAATAATGTGCTCTCCAGGAGTGTTGTTACATCAATAATGTGCTCTCCAGGAGTGTTGTTACATCAATAATGTGCTCTCCAGAAGTGTTGTTACATCAATAATGTGCTCTCCAGGAGTGTTGTTACATCAATAATGTGCTCTCCAGGAGTGTTGTTACATCAATAATGTGCTCTCCAGGAGTGTTGTTACATCAATAATGTGCTCTCCAGGAGTGTTGTTACATCAATAATGTGCCTTCCAGAGTGTTGTTACATCAATAATGTGCTCTCCAGGAGTGTTGTTACATCAATAATGTGCTCTCCCAGGAGTGTTGTTACATCAATAATGTGCTCTCCAGGAGTGTTGTTACATCAATAATGTGCTCTCCAGGAGTGTTGTTACATCAATAATGTGCTCTCCAGAGTGTTGTTACATCAATAATGTGCTCTCCAGGAGTGTTGTTACATCAATAATGTGCTCTCCAGAAGTGTTGTTACATCAATAATGTGCTCTCCAGGAGTGTTGTTACATCAATAATGTGCTCTCCAGGAGTGTTGTTACATCAATAATGTGCTCTCCAGGAGTGTTGTTACATCAATAATGTGCTCTCCAGGAGTGTTGTTACATCAATAATGTGCTCTCCAGGAGTGTTGTTACATCAATAATGTGCTCTCCAGGAGTGTTGTTACATCAATAATGTGCTCTCCAGGAGTGTTGTTACATCAATAATGTGCTCTCCAGGAGTGTTGTTACATCAATAATGTGCTCTCCAGGAGTGTTGTTACATCAATAATGTGCTCTCCAGGAGTGTTGTTACATCAATAATGTGCTCTCCAGGAGTGTTGTTACATCAATAATGTGCTCTCCAGGAGTGTTGTTACATCAATAATGTGCTCTCCAGGAGTGTTGTTACATCAATAATGTGCTCTCCAGGAGTGTTGTTACATCAATAATGTGCTCTCCAGGAGTGTTGTTACATCAATAATGTGCTCTCCAGGAGTGTTGTTACATCAATAATGTGCTCTCCAGGAGTGTTGTTACATCAATAATGTGCTCTCCAGGAGTGTTGTTACATCAATAATGTGCTCTCCAGGAGTGTTGTTACATCAATAATGTGCTCTCCAGGAGTGTTGTTACATCAATAATGTGCTCTCCAGGAGTGTTGTTACATCAATAATGTGCTCTCCAGGAGTGTTGTTACATCAATAATGTGCTCTCCAGGAGTGTTGTTACATCAATAATGTGCTCTCCAGGAGTGTTGTTACATCAATAATGTGCTCTCCAGGAGTGTTGTTACATAAATAATGTGCTCTCCAGGAGTGTTGTTACATCAATAATGTGCTCTCCAGGAGTGTTGTTACATCAATAATGTGCTCTCCAGGAGTGTTGTTACATCAATAATGTGCTCTCCAGGAGTGTTGTTACATCAATAATGTGCTCTCCAGGAGTGTTGTTACATCAATAATGTGCTCTCCAGGAGTGTTGTTACATCAATAATGTGCTCTCCAGGAGTGTTGTTACATCAATAATGTGCTCTCCAGGAGTGTTGTTACATCAATAATGTGCTCTCCAGGAGTGTTGTTACATCAATAACATGATCTCCAGGAGTATTGTTACATCAAAAACATGATCTCCAGGAGTGTTATTACATCAATAACATGATCTCCAGGAGTGTTGTTACATCAGTAACATGATCTCCGGGAGCGTTGATACATCAAAACATGATCTCCAGGAGTATTGTTACATCAAAAACATGACCCTTAGGAGTGTTGTTAAAATCAAAACATGATCTCCAGGAGTGTTTGTTACATCAATAACAGATCTCCAGGAGTATTGTTACTTAAATAACATGATCTCCAGGAGTGTTGTTACATCAATAACATGATCTCCAGGAGTGTTGTTACATCAATAACATGATCTCCAGGAGTGTTGTTACATCAATAACATGATCTCCAGGAGTATGCTACATCAATAACATGATCTCCAGGAGCGTTGTTACATCAATAACATGATCTTCAGGAGTGTTGTTACATCAATATCATGATCTCCAGGAGTGTTGTTACATCAATAACATGATCCCCAGGAGTGTTGTTACATCAATAACATGATCTCCAGGTTTGCTGTTACATCAATAACATGATCTCCAGGAGTGCTGTTACATAAATAACATGATCTCCAGGAGTGCTGTTACATCAATAACATGATCTCCAGGATTTATTGTTACATCAATAACAGATCTCCAGGATTTGCTGTTACATCAATAACATGATCTCCAGGAGTGTTGTTACATCAAAAACATGATCTCCAAGAGTGCTGTTACATCAATACCATGATCTCCAGGAGTGTTGTTACATCAATAACATGATCTCCAGGAGTGTTGTTACATCAATAACATGATCTCCAGGAGTGTTGTTACATAAATAACATGATATCCAGGAGTGCTGTTACATCAATAACATGATCTCCTGGAGTGCTGTTACATCAATAACATGATCTCCAGGAGTGTTGTTACATCAATAACATGATCTCCAGGAGTGCTGTTACATCAATAACATGATCTCCAGTAGTGCTGTAACATCAATAACATGATCTCCAGGAGTGTTGTTACATCAATAACATGATCTCCAGGAGTGCTACTACATCAATAACATGATCTCCAGGAGTTTTGTTACATCAATAACATGATCTCCAGGAGTGCTGTTACATCAATAACATGATCTCCAGGAGTGCTGTTACATCAATAACATGATCTCCAGGAGTGCTCTTATATCAATAACATGATCTCCAGGAGTGTTGTTACATCAATAACATGATCTCCAGGAGTGCTGTTACATCAATAACATGGTCTCCAGGAGTGCTATTACATCAATAACATGATCTCCAGGAGTGCTGTTACATCAATAACATGGTCTCCAGGAGTGCTGTTACATCAATAACATGGTCTCCAGGAGTATTGTTACATCAATAACATGGTCTCCAGGAGTGCTGTTACATCAATAACATGATCTCCAGGAGTGCTGTTACATCAATAACATGGTATCCGGGAGTGCTGTTACATCAATAACATGATCTCCAGGAGTGCTGTTACATCAATAACATGGTGTCCAGGAGTATTGTTACATCAATAACATGGTCTCCAGGAGTCCTGTTACATCAATAACATGATCTCCAGGAGTATTGTTACTCAATAACATGGTCTCCGGAGTGCTGTTTCATCAATAACATGATCTCCAGGAGTGCTGTTACATCCAATAACATGGTCTCCAGGAGTGCTTTAACATCAATAACATGTTTCCCCCAGGGTATTGTTACATCAAAAAACATGGTCTCCAGGGTAATTGTTACATCAATAACATGGTCTCCAGGAGTTTTGTTACATCAATAACATGGTCTCATGAGTGCTGTTACATCAATAACATGATCTCCAGGAGTGCTGTTACATCAATAACATGATCTCCAGGAGTGCTGTTACATCAATAACATGGTCTCCAGGAGTATTGTTTACATCAATAACATGGTCTCCAGGAGTGCTGTTAAAATCAATAACATGGTCTCCAGGAGTGCTGTTACATCAATAACATGGTCTCCAGGAGTGCTGTTACATCAATAACATGATCTCCAGAGTGTTTTTACATCAATAAAAATGACTCCAGGA